GCCCCCGGTCCCCATCCGCCCCATAGCGCTCTTCCACCGCTGCCCCCATCCGCCCCATAGTGCTCCTCCACCACTGCCGCCCCCAGCAGGAGCGAAGTCGGAGTCCGCCCCGCGCGGGTCTTTTCCCGAGTTTCTCCCCCCTGCTCGCAGAAGGCAGGTCCGTGGGGCAGGGGTCAATGTGACAGGAACAATAACTCGCGGGGCGAGCCCCGGCCCCGGCCGCCCCCCGCGGGCAGAGGCGGCCCCGGGACTGTCACTCGCCGCTCGCTGAAGTGGCGCCCGAATCCGACCCGCCGCCCCGTTCTCGGGGCCGGGAACTCGCAGACCGGGCCCGCTCCTGCTCCGAGAGGCTGCTCGGAGAGGCAGAACAGGGCCCGGTGGAAACGCAGGAAGGTCCCAGCCCCGCGGCGGGCCCAGGCCTCGGGCGAGGAAGGGGAAGGAGACAGGCGAATGGATCTGGCGGCTCCCGCTGCTCCAGGGTGCGTGAGAGAAGCGGGAGGGCCCTGGGGAAGAACAGAGGCGTGCGGGGATGTCAGCCTAGGCGGGGGCGTCTTGCTCTTTGCCCCCGGCCTGAGCCGGGCAAGTGGGGGATGAGTTGGGGCGGCCACGCTCAGCCCGGAGCGCAGAGACTCCCCCAAACTGCCCCGCTGCCCAAGGGGCTCGGACCCGCCAGGAGCTGCTTCCCGGCCAGCCGTGAGGGGCCGGAAGCCCTGGGCAGAGCCGGGCCCTGTAACCCGGTCCAAGCTGTAACCCCCGCTGTTCCCTACACACACGGGGCTGGAACTAGGGGGTGGGGGGCTGCCGCACCCCTGGCTGGAAGTGGTTTCACCCTATACCGTTTACAGTCTGGTTCAATGGCTCTCAGCCCCCCACTCTACACATTTTTCCACTGCCCCTGCGCGCACAAGCTGGGATCCTGCAGAGGCATGAAAAGTGACACAGCCCCTGCAGCACACGGAGCACAGCGCCCTGAAATACTGCACCGCCCTGGTCTCACACACACACACACACAGCTTGGGGGTGCATCACACACACAGCCACCCAGGGCCTACAGCAACACCTGATCTCACACACAACCACTGGAGAGTACAACAACACCTGATATCACACACACAGCTACGCAGGGCCTACAGCAACGCCTGATCACACACACACAGCCACCCAGGGCCTACAGCAACGCCTGATATCACACACACACACACACACACACAGAGCCACTGGAGTGTATAGCAACACTGTGATCACACACACACCTATGCAGGGCCTACAGCAACACCTGATCACATACACACAACCACGGGGTGTACAGCAACACCGTGATCTCTCTCTCACACACACACAGCCACCCTGTGCATACAGCAACACCGCGATCACACAGGCAGGCACTGAAATACACACCCCAGTGCACGCGTGTAAGCACACACCAGACGATCACACCCCCAGGACATCCCGCACAACCCCCCCACGCACAACTCCCCTCACACGGGCAGACCACAGCCCAGTCCTCGGGGACAGCTGCCCCTCCCCGGGCCGGGGGCTGGGTCCGGGGCGCTCGCTGGGCCAGGTGCCCAGCGGCGGGACCAGGCTCGTGGCGTGAAGTCGGGCTGGGGCTGCCCCGTGGGCGAGGCCCCGCTCCCCCGGCCAGGCCCTAACCCTGCCTCTCCCCCGTGCAGAGCGCTGCGCCCTGAAGCAGCCGCCGGGCGCCGCGGAGAGGCCGGAGGAGGCGGAGAGGCCGAAGCCGCGGAGCCGTAGGAAGCCGCGCGTTCTCTTCTCGCAGGCGCAGGTCTTCGAGCTGGAGCGGCGCTTCAAGCAGCAGCGCTACCTGTCAGCGCCGGAGCGCGAGCACCTGGCCAGCAGCCTCAAGCTCACCTCCACGCAGGTGAAGATCTGGTTCCAGAACCGGCGCTACAAGTGCAAGCGGCAGCGGCAGGACAAGTCGCTGGAGCTGGGCCCCGCGCCGCCGCCGCCGCGCCGGGTGGCCGTGCCGGTGCTGGTGCGGGACGGGAAGCCCTGCCTCGGGGGCTCGCCGGGCTACGGCTCGCCCTACAACGCGCCCTACTCCTACAGCGGCTTCCCGCCCTACGGCTACGGCAACTCGGCCGCCTACAACGCCAGCTACGGCTGCAGCTACCCCGCGGGCGGCCAGCCCGGCTGCAGCCCGGGCGCGGCCGCGGGGCCCTTCGTGAACATGGGCGGCCTGGGCGGGTTCGGCGGCGCGGCCCAGCCCCTGCACCAGGGCGCCGCGGGGCCCTCCTGCAGCCAGGGCGCTCTGCAGGGAATCCGGGCCTGGTAGCCGCGCGGGGCGGCGGACACTCTGGGCCAGGAAGGAGCCTGCAGGCCCCGGGGAAGGACAGGGAACCGCGCCGCCCCCGGCTGGTGCCCGAAGGCTGCTCGCTAGAGGCAGACTGGAGCCCCGCGCAGCCCTCAGCGCCGCTTCGCCCAGGGCGGGATCTGCAAGCACCGGCCGGCGCGATGCGCCCAGCGGCCTCTCAGGCTGGGCAACTGCCGGCCGCTGCGCTCGGCGGAGCCCCCTGTCCCGGCTCCTCCGTGCCCCGGCCGGGGGAGGGGGACCGGCGCAGCAGCTGTTGGGGCCGCAGGGCAGAAGCGGGCTCGGCCCAAAGCCTGTCTGGTCCCCCGCGGCGGTCGGGGAGGCGAGCGCGTCCCCCGGCTCTGGGTGGCTCGCTGCAGGGCTGGGCATGGAGCTGGAAGCCCCGCATCGTCCAAGCAGCTTCGCTTGTATAAAGCCAAAGTGTCAGGGCCTGGGGGAGGCAGCCGCGCGGGGAGCCGGGCCCTGTATCTACTCTGTATCCGCTGTACGTGCCAGCCCGCGCAGGAGCGAGGGGGTTAATAAACCAGGTGCAATAACCCCAGCGCCTCATTGTTCCCGGCCGAGAGCGGACGGGGCTGGGGGTGCGGCCAGAGCCGGGGCTGGGGGCTCCGTTCGCCCCAGCCCATGGGATGTTGTACGTTACGGGTGACGCCCCGGCCCCGTTTGTCAAGGGGAGATTTGCCATCGGCCTCAGCCAGCTCTCCACGAGGGTCGCCCCTGGCTCGGCGCTGCCCCGCGCCCAGGACTCGGTTAGCACTGGGCGAGCTGGGGAGCGCCGGGCCCTGCCTTGCCCCGGCGGCTTCACCGCGGGTGCGGAGGGGCGAGTCCCTTGTACAAAACCGGCCCCCGCCAGCCCCAGCCCCGGAGCCCGCGGCCGGGCTGCTCGGGGCAATGGCTCTAGTGGCGGCCAGTTGGGGGAAGCCGATCCCCGGGCTGATGCAGGGGGACGCAGGGCCGGGGAGACCCTGGGCTCGGGGAGCCTCCGTCCCCCTCCTGCCGGCGCTGTAATCCCCTTGTCCCGCAGGGGCCGGGCGGCCTGGCCCGCGCGGCGGATTGTGAGCGTGCCAAGGCGCTGAATGGGGAGCCGCGGCGCAGAGCCGGGCCATTGTGGCCGCCGGGCCGGCGCTGAAAGGAGCCGCCGGGGAAGGTGACGAGAATAGGCGCTTATTGGATTCGGGAACAAAAGGTGTGGCAGGGAGGCGAGGGACAAAGGGGCCCAGGCGCCGAGATTGACGGGCGGCTCTGCCCCCCGCTGGGGCCCGGGCCCGGCGCTTTATGCGCGCAGGATGAGAAACGTGCAGGGTTTTGTTCCCCTTTCTGTGAGCGCAGGGGGAGAGGAGGGGGGTCCGCGGGGCGCGCTGATTAGGGGCGGCCGGGCCGGGCCGCCTCAATGCCGGGTCATTATTGCTACAAGTTTAGCAATTTCGCTGGTGCAGCAGGGGGAGGGGCCCCAGGGCCTGCCCGCGGCCGCGAGGCGTTGTGGGGACCGGGAGCACGGGCGCAGGGGATGGGACGGGGGGGAAGCAGCCCCAGTTCCGGGTCGGTTCCGAGGCTTTGGGGCCGCTCCCTGAATGTAAAAGGCTAAAATCTGCGGCGGGGAGAGAGCCCGGGACCCTGCCCCAGGGAGCGCGCGAGGGGGTGGGGGGCACGGTCCTGCTCCTCTAGGAGTCCCTGGGAACTGGGGGGCTTGTACCTGCCCCCGCAAAGCCCCGCCGGAGCGTCCCGCGGACCTGGGTGCAGTACCCGGGCTCTGAGCACGGCCTGGCCCCGAGATGGGGAGAGGGTGCGAGGGGCCCGGGCATAGAGGGTCCTGCTCCGAGTACGGGGTGGGGCCGGGGGGATGCGGAGGGCTGGGGCGGTTTTGGGGTGACGGGGAAGTTCGGGGGTGCTGGGATTCCCGCCAGGGGAATCAGTGTGTGTGTGGGGGGGTGAGTGTGAGCAGCGGAGAAAGGGTCAGGGGTGGGGGCAGGTGGTCGGGACTGGGCGGGCTGCGGAAATGGGCTGGCGGAGTGTCGGTTTTGGGGGTTAGGCAGGGTGGGTAGGAGCGGGGGGCTGGATGTCGGGGGGCGGGTGTAGTTCTGGGGGTGGTGTCGGGGGCTGGCTGTGGGGGAATGTGACGTCGAGGGACTACGGGGGTCGGGGGATGGGGGCGGTGGGGGATGGGTCGAGGTGAGGGACGGGGCGGTGGCGCTGGCGGGCGGGGGGGTGGGACTGGGGGGAGGGGAGATAGCGGGGTGGGGGAGGGTCACCGCAGATAAGAAGGGGCTCAGGTGGATTTCTTGTTGCGCGCCCTCTGAGGCGGAGCCGGAGGGTCTCCGCGCCAGGAGCCATCCCGGGCAGCTTCTCCTTCCCGCGGCTGTCGGAGCGCGGGCTGGGCCCCGGCGCGGCTCTGCCCGGGCCAGAGGTGCCGAGCAGCCGCTGGCTGGAAGCGACCCCGGGCCGGGGCCACCCACAGAGAAGCCGGGAGAGGGCCGGGGGCTCAGGGAAGGGCCCGTCTCGCTGGAACTGTTGCGCCCGAGGCAGGATGAGGGGCGCCGGGCGGGCGTAGAGGAGGGAGCCCCTGGCGCCTGCACTGCGGGGGCGGCTCAGCAGTCAGCGGGTGGGGACGGGGGGACGGGGGGCCGGCCGGTTCTGAGCTGCGCGGTCAGCAGCTGCCAGGTCAGGTCCGGTCAGCCGCACAGGAGCGGGCCGGCTGCCCCGCACGGGTCTGCAACGTGCCCCTCGCCCTGGTATCCCGCCTCAGCCACAGGCCGGGTACAGCCCAGCCCTGCCTGCTGGGCACCGTCCCTCCCGCTGCCTCCCCTGGCCCCCGGAGCCGGTCACTAGCGATCCCGGTCTGTGTCGCGCAGGGGCTCAGAGGCAGGAGCCGATGGGTAACTAGAGGCTGGGGGGCTGTGGAACAAGACATCAAACTCTGACAAGTGACTCAAACGGGGACCGCCTGGATCTGGCTGCGCCACACCGAACTGGCACGGGCCGATTTTAGCGATCAACCAGTTTTAAGGGACATTTGCTCCCTGTGTGAATTAAGCCAGGTTTGATTTGTCTTTTGTTTTTAAAGAAAACCAGTAAAAAAAAAATCCATCCTGGAGGGAGATTTGAATCCTGGCGCCTTAGATCCACAGCTGCTGCTCGGTACCAATCCTGGGGTTTAGAACATAGTACCTGGGCTTCTGTGCTAATCACGTAGAGGTTAGAGCCGTGTGGCTTAGAGACCGGCCAGCCTACCAAGTTTTCCTGCACAGTAATAGACACAGGTACATTCATGGTCTTCTGGCACCCAGCTCCATGCACCATCCCCTAGCCTCCAGGTATGTGGAGAGAAATCAATCATTTCTCTCCCGACTAGCACCTAGAGGTGTCAACCAAGCCTGGGACCCCTGGTGCCACATTGGAAGTGACAGTATCTGCCCTAAAGAGCTTTCAGTCTAAACAGACAAAGCGTAGGAGGGAAAACAGGCCCAGAGAGGGGAAGTGACTTGCCCGTGGCCACACGGCAGCTCAGTAGCAGAGCTGGGAATAGACTCCAGACGCCCCTGGGAGACAGCATCTCACATTACCACCACTAGCCCCGGAGGTGCTCGCCATATTCCCTAGCCACCCGGCAAGGCGGGTCTATAGCAAGGAGGCACACTTTGTTAATGAGACAAAATAGTTGTGGTTAGTGAAGACCAGGGAGGATTGTGAGATTTGGAGAGACTCAGCCAGGGGGCAAACTCCAACCTCGTGCACACCTGTGCAGGCCCACTAGGGTCCGCGGGAGTGGGCCACGTGAGGGCCGACTCTAGCCCCAAATTAGGTAACTGGACAGGTTAAATTCACTGAAAACAAGTGCCAGGCAAGGCCTATCGGGACTGGTTAAACTCCCATGCTGGGTTCGGCATGAGCTGTAACCCTCACAGAGAATGGGCTCGGAGTGGTCGGGACTGGGTGGGTGAAGGTGACTCTCAATGCATAGCAGTGGTCAGAGTGCTTAGGTGCAGACTGGACTGACAAGGGGACAGAAAATAATATGGAAATCACCGCAGTGCTCCTGAACTCACACGCGCTCTGGGTGCCCTAAACCTCTGGGACTGGTACAGGAGCTGGGACTGGTACAGGGGATGGATCACATGAAATTGCCCTGTTCTATTCATTCCCTCTGAAGCACCTGGCACTGGCCACTGTCAGAGACAGGACACTGGGCTAGATGGACCATGGGTCTGACCCAGTCTGGCCATTCTTATGATGTTAGTCCTCAGCTGGTGACCTCAGCTCAGAAAGGAAAAAAACTTAGAGGAGGAACAAACAGTAGCAGCTAGAGATGGGGAAAGGCCATTTGCAGATTGAAGGGCAGACCAGCTGTCTGGGGAGAAGAGCCGTGGCAGAATGAGTGCATGGTCTAAATAAGAGAAAGCCAGCCCGTCTCCTACTCACCTTGCTCCTAAAGCACGGGGGCACTTAGGAAAGGCAGCACATTATTACAGTTCGACACAAGACAACACTTTAAAAGTCAACGTGTAATTAATTTGTGGTGCTGGCTTCTGCATGATCCCAGCGAGACCCATAATTCAGTATAGCCCAGAAAGGGATTAGACTGCAGAGGCAGAGGAGGGGGTGCAGAGAGAGGGACTCGAAGGGCAAAGGTCATGATTTGTGTTTGTTCCTGAAAGAGCGACAGGCTCTAATGTTGTTTGGGAGCCAGAGAGGGAAGGTGCTGATGGATTTTGGACAGGGCTCAAACTTAAACACACCGGTCTAAAAACAATACAATGACCTGAAGCAAACAAGAGGGAGAGGAGACGCCAGGCCTGGGGCAGGGGCTCAAATTCGGGCTGTGTCCTGAGACAATTCCACGTTTCATGATGGCCTGCAGACCAGGAACAGACTGTGGCTCTGGACTTTGCTCCATCCACAGCAGAGTTCCCAGCAATGCCAACAGGAGTTCACACAAAACCCAAGGGGAAAATCCAGCCTTTAGCTGT